CTTGACAATCTAACTGGTCGTCAGAATCAACAAGTCTCAAAAAACGGTCCAGTCTAGACTAGAGCCCTTCCCAAAAACAGGTGTGGGTTGCACTCATCCACTCTAAAAGAATTTAGACTACTGGGTCTTGGTGGGTTTACGCAGTCCGATTCGTTCAAGAAGATGCCGAGAAGCTTTTCCATATTCTGAACAAATGGAGTCTCACACCCCATTCATTGATGTGAGACTTTTTCCTGTTGAAACGAAAATGCGGATAATCGTTTTTTCTCTCTCAAACCCACGTGGGAACTTTTGATTCACTTCGTTGGTGATGAACAATAAAAACCAAAAAAAAACGCGTATCCGTAAAACAAGCGAGAATTGCGACATTTGAAAAATGACTTGTTCTCTGAGATCGTCGTATCGTTTTCCCCTTGTTGTGTGTGAGAGTGACACACACCACAAAACCATCACATCTCGGATCACATCGAAATACCTGATACCCCAGGTCTCGGCATCGCGACTAGGTACTAGGGAAAAAAAAAGACACATCGAAAACTTTGCTGGTGGACTAGCTTTGTCGATAAACCAAAAAAAAAAAAAAAAAGTAAAGTCCCCGGTTGTTAGCTCGCTCGGGGACATCTCCGCGCGCAACCTGATGATCCTCGATCTCCTTGTCTTCCCGGATGGTGCCCGTCACGGAAGCTATCGGTGATGCAGAGTGACGACGTGCATTAATTGATCAGATTTTCATCTCTCTTGTGTGTGGTGCTTTGTTGCTGACAATTGCGATGTTCTCGTCACCGATGCCGAGAACGCCTACGGGGCCAAGGTCAACAAGTTCCCCGGGGACAAAGTGGACACTGGGATCCCTAAATGGTCCGAGCAGGCGAGAGAAACAAGGGGACCCCGGACCCGGGCTTGATGATCGGAGGCCGGGTTCAGGTGTGATGATGGCACTGAGGGGTTTTGAATCTCTTGGACAGGGTGCCAGGTGGAGCTCTGGATCTCTTGAACGTGTTCCGCTAACGAGTTGACTGCCAGAAAGGGGAAGAGGTGAGGGGCACTAGTGAACGGTTTCGCCTTGTGAATTTGACAGGTGAGGTGAGGTGAGGCTACCTATTCAGCGGAGGTTTTGGCGTGTGGGAGCTTCCGTATACTGCTGGAAAGTGGTTGACTCGTGGCACGTGGGTGTGTGTTCTCTGCACTGTTATGCCCGCCCCGACGATACCCACGAGCTTGATCAGATGAGCCACGGGAGGCCATTTAGGCGGTGTTCCTGTCAAGGCCTTTTCAGCAGCTAAGCTGCGGGCTTTCTATTCGCGGGCCGTCGGTGCCAACGATGCAAGTGAACAATTCTCTGGTCGCACGGGCGCTGGAGAAATGGAAAATAAAGCCGGGTGGCATCATGAGGATCTGCTACCACCATGCCCTTTTTTGCCCGCAAAGCATTGAACGCCACTAGATTAGATAGCCAAAGAAGCAACGAAGATGGCAGGCCGATAGACTCACCCCTTCCCACGGGGTCGTTGTCAAGTGTGTCATTGTGACAAGACAAGAAAAGTTCCACATGGGACGGACCGGGCTCGTTGAAGCTATCGCTCAGCCGTTTCACCCGCTCATGATATCCATAGCTTGGTCTCCATCAGTGAATTGCCCGGGGGTCCATCCGAAAGAGTACTTTGGAAAAGGAGGAGGAGCGACATTCCTGGATTTCTTCGTCGACAGATCGGAGCAACGCCGTTATGCCGCGTGGATGTGCCACACGGCAGCCGCGGTCAGTCTGGAAATCAGTGATTTTTTCGCGAGGGTGTCCGGGGTGTGGCTCGGTGGGTGGGTGTTCTCTTCCCCGCATTGAAATTGGAGCAAGTGATGACCAATTATGCCATCCTGGACAATGCCGTCTGATGTCGAGCTGGTAGCGACTGATGCGCGTTCCCTGGGTTGGGTTGGGTAGGAGCAGGCTGACATGCAATGGAGCATCTCCCGTCGGCGCCGTCATCGGCCTTTCTCTCTTTTAGCCGTTATGCCTTCTTGCCTGAACAGGAGGGTGTCTTTTTGAGGTTTTCGTCTGTGCAACTGAGATCGGGAAGGGCCATCAGTATCTCGGTGGTCTCGGTGAGGAGGAGGTCCAAAGACAGACAAAATTAGTCCGCTTTCTGTGCCGGGACGGCAGGCTGCAGGCTGACGTGGAGAGGGCATAATTAGTCCCATGATTATCGCAGGCTAAATGTGACAGTGGGATAATATTGATGTGATAAGTGGGTTGAGTCTGACAAACTGGGCTAATTAAAAATAGCGGGCATCTGTAAGTGCGGGGTGACAAGCTCCCAAAATTAGCCCACAATAGTTTGTGGGCAAACTTTTCAAGCTTCCTAATAGAGTAGGACGGCGGCTAAATTGTTCTTGGTCAGCATCACAGTGTCGTCTCGATACTGTAGACTCGACTAGTCACATTGACGATAAACATGTAGAAGGATCTTTGTTGATGATTCTAGATGAACTGCCTTGGAGATATGCACAGTTGGCTTTGTATAAAAGCTCTGAAGGATCCAGCCTCGGCGCTTCTTGTAGATTCTCGAGAGGGTTTGCTTTCTTCCGTCAACATGAACAACCAAGCCGGCAGAATCGAAGTCGAAGCCAGACTTACCAAGTACACAGCGAGGTATAGTAAACAGGGCTAAGCCAACAGAGTTTTCTAGCGAGACTGACGATATTCCATTTTCCTATACAAAAAGCCAAGGCTGGTATTTGGTGCGTTGAGAACATGGGTCCCCACGACCTTGTCCGCCCAGACCTGGATGTCCTGGCTCTGTCCCGCATAATTGGCCCAAGCTCCTGTGCTTGGCACAGTGAACCCTGCTCCCAACCCTGGTCGATCTCAATGCTTGAGCCAATCTGAGCTGGTTGCCGCCCCTCGGGCCGCATGCAGCTATGCACGAGCCACCTGTAGTCACACTCACCCGACCACACCTCATCGAATCAACTGCGAGAAGCTCGCTTTTGCAGAGATTGACCAACTGCAACACCAGACCACTGACGAGAAAAGTTCTCCCTGCTACCTCGCGACCTCGCTCTTACGACGGCCCTACACTCTGATCCAGGTACCCTCGGTAACACCCGATTATCTTCCAGGCAAGGACCGCCACGTCAACCAAACCCGGTGCAGTCCACCGACTGGCTGGGTGAGGCGACCAATCCGGACCATATTGTCACAACGGCCACTTCGATTTGTGAAGTGACCTTTCCGTGAGGGTATTCCGGACCCAGACAAGACGAACCATGTCGCCTCATCTGATATTTGGGCTCGTCAAAGCCTATAGGGGACTGACAAATCGCTCACCAGAGACAGCAAAGGGCAGACAGACCCCTCACTTCCCCAGCTTTTGGCAATCATGTCGCTGCTTCGAGCGATTCTCCGATGGGAAATTGCAAGCTGGGGGCCCGTGGTTCTGTTGAAAATCATCGATAGGCGTTGAGCGTGGATGAGGCACAAGGCAACGCCCACCACGCACAATTCTTTCTTGTCCTCCATGAAGCGACGTCGACAGCGTCATGCTTCCCTTCCCGTGGCTTCCTTTTTCTTCAAGCAGAGTCTGTGCCTCACTATGGGCGGATACTGTGTAGCTGCCATTTGCATATGCAACCATCTCGATGCCCGTGGGTCGAGGTTGCAGGGAAAGCATGGGGGAGGTCGGCAAGAGGGTGTAGGGCGAACCAGGGGCCCATTGGCCAGCATTGATTCACCCACCCGGGCCTGCAAGCTTTTCGGTCCCGGGAGTCGAGTTGTGTCTTGGAGGGCCCGAGTCTGCCTCTGTTCATTGTCATTGTTATCTTGGTGAGGAGTCAGCATCAAGCGATGCCCTCTCTCATCAGCTGAAGAGAAAGATATCGCTACAAACCTGCGCCATCGACGTTACGTATACAACTCCCGTCGGCCGTCTAGTCTTGCCCTCATCAGTCCCGTCCCTCGGTCTGCCCAAACCCGCTCCTAGGGCGGCCGGGTTATCTCAAGCGAGTTAGGCATTGTGCTCTTCTCGAGCTGCATGTTTCTGCAAGTGGCTGGCCCCCGTACCAATCAACTTTTAATCGCTCGACAGGCTCCCTTGTTCCGCAGAGGGTCGGCCGACGTGGAGAAGGTGCACACCCACTTCCGGACCCCATGTCACCATTGTCACCCTCACATGCAATGGCGGGTGGGGTCCATGTTGGCGTCCCCCTTTCCGTTCTCTAGTCATTGGCACCAATAAGCGCACGTCGTACCCCTGTCTCTCCCATAGTGCGAGCACCACACACAGCAGGCCGAGGGTGACATGTCCCAAAAGAGCACAAGATGCACACATTCACACGGGACTATGTATGTGGGCTAATAAAGTGAAGTGGGCCAAAAACGGAAAGGAGGTTAATTTTGCCCGCAATGTTCAAAAATAGAACACTGCAAATTCACCCCAAAGTCGTCAAGACACACAGCCAAGATATAAGAATTAGCCCGCTTCGCTCCCCCCTCCTCCCATTCGTTTCCCCTTCTCTCGAGCAGGTCCCCAAACGAAGTGAAGAAGTCGGAGTATCCCCAGGTGTTGTCGTCGTCCAGTCCAGTCCAGTCCAACCGACTCTCACCTCTCTCTCTCTCACATTTTTTTTAATTACGCCTTATTCCACGCCGACCAACCAAGAGAGCTGTGTCTCTACTCGGCATTTCAGCGTTCATTAGCACCCCCATTCCCGATACCAGATAACGCAAGCCGGACTTGCTTGGATATCCAGTCGTTCTCTCGAAACAAAACAACACGATACAGTAATCTAATACTAGCTCTCTGGTCTGGCAACCATTCCTCCGCGAGGACTTGCTTTGCTTCACCAGATTTGCCCCCGGACATCTGGACCTTGAACACGAGCGAGGGCACCCCCGGTTCACCTGGTCTCCTCCCGCTCTCCTCGGCCCAGTCCAAGCCCCACACCCCCCCGGCCCAGCCCTCACACGCCCCCCTTGACCCCCGACCACCTCCGCCCAAGGGTCACCCCCACACCCCTGGTGCTTGTCACTCAACGCAGGTACTTGGACCTACAGAAGGGTTTATACAAATGTCAACACTACCCCCCAACCACCACGGAGACCTCATGAAATCATCCCAAGTCAACATGGCTACCACCACCACGACAACGACGACAACAACAACAACAAAGGCCAAGGCTGCCTCCAAAGCCCAGGCCAGTGCCGCTGCCAACCCCAAGCAAAAGACGCAGATGCATCGCCGCTCAAGAACAGGTAAGCTCTCATCTCACTTGCACAGCTCGTTGGCGAGTTCGGAAGCTAACTCTGGTGACACGTAAAGGATGCTATACCTGCAGATTAAGAAGAAAAAAGTGCGACGAGGGCTCGCCCATGTGCACTGCCTGCAAGCATCTTGGCCTGGTATGCGAATACAAGCGGCCGATGTGGTGGAGCAACAACGATGCGCGGAGGAAGCACAAGGACGACATCAAGATGATCATCAAGCGCAAGAAGCTTTCCGAGAAGTCAACACACAGCATCCAGACCTCGGTCAACTCACCGCCAGGTCTCTCTCACTCGCTCCCAACCTCTGCTACCTTCTCCGACCCCTTCGACCGCACCCGATCGCAGTCGATTGATTCGCAGTTTGCTTTCAACTTCAACAGCCCACAAAGCGACTTCAGCTCCTTCAGCGCGCCACAGATGCACCCCGACTTTTTGTTTGCTCCGTACTCGCCCTATGAGATTGACGTCAAGACGGAGAGGCAAATGTTCATCAACGACATCCCAACCCTCAGAGAGTCAACAACAGCCACTTTCAGCACCTACCAGACCCCTCCGCCACCGGGAACAGTCCTCCCCCAGTTCCCTCTGGAAGGCGAATGGACGGAGCAGGTGTACACGGAGCGGAGGGAGTCATTGGCCGAGGAGACGCTCAACGTCAACTTCTTTGACTTTGCCCAGGGACCTTCGGTGTCTTCCAGGCAAGTCGCGATTGAGCTGGACGAAGGCGATCAGCGCTTGTTTGATCACTTCATCTCGTCGGTTCTTCCCACCATCTTCCCCATCCTCGAGTCGAACCAGCATGGATCCATCAGCTCCGACCTCATCCTCCCGGCGCTGGAGAGCAACAAGGGCTACCTGCACTGCTGCTTGAGCATCGCCGCTCAGCACTACAAGGCCGCCATGGGTCTTGAGGGTGAGGAGATTGATGGCGACATCATGCGCCACCGCTACGCGACCATCTCTGCTCTGTGCGAAGCCCTCGCACGCGACGAGGACCACCAGCAGATTCTGGAGGCCGCCCTCGGGCTTATCTTCTTCCAATGCGGCGTCGGCCGCTTCGACGACACGCTGCCCGACATTCCCTGGCACCAGCACTTCCAAGCCGCCATCTCGTTGGTGCAGAAGCTCGACCTCCCGCGCATCGTCTCGGACCCTAACGAGCCTTTGACTCAGGCCCCCTTCAACATGACCCTCACCGCGTGGATTGACATTCTCGGCGCCACCATGCTCGGTCGCGCTCCCGCTTTCGCCCACACCTACCGCGAGAAGCACCTGTCTCCCACCAACCCCAGCCTGGGCTTGCGCGAGCTGATGGGGTGCGAGGACCGCGTCATGTACCTGATCAGCGAGATCGCCTGCCTTGAGGCCCTCAAGAAGGACGGCATGGATGACATCACCCTCTGCCAACACGTCCACGTTCTTGGCGACCAGATCGGTTTGACCGAGATGGGCGATGATTCAGTCCCGGATCTTCCCTTCAACGCCAACGGCACCCCTCAACCCCAAGCACCTCTCCTATAAAATCACAGACGCCTTCCGCCTCTCCGCAAGAATAAAATAATGCAGCCTCTTCCCAGGCTT